GGATGCAGCTCGCTGCTTGCAGGCAGCCTTTCGTTGTGTACTGGAGAACACCACCACTCACCACGCGGTGATTGAATAAACACCGTTTGGTGAGACCGGATGGAATTCAACTTTGAAATCTGTGTTAGGGAAATCGCTTTTCGCAGGCAATCGGTGATTGTTTTTAATTATGAAATCAACAGTTGCACATTATGCAATTTTTAATAATGACATTTTGAAAAATGATAAAGTTTTAAATTTAACGTGCGTAGAAATAAATCTGATTGATTGGTGATAAATTTATTGAAATTGGTCCAGGGACAGTTGAGCAATTAACGTTCAAACTCTTTCATAATGTTGTTACAAGTTCCATTTTCGGTTTTCACAAAGTGTGTACCCCCATAGAGAAATCACAGACGTACGTCAAAAAAATTAAAAATCAAAAAATACGTTACATAGAAAAATCATAAAAATATAATGAGAGAGAGAGAAGGATTAGTAATTTCCATTTAATTCCACTACCTTATTTGCTTATCCTTGACTCATACGCGTATTTCGTCTACAATGTGCAGTCTGCAAAATATATTTACAAAGTCTGCACATTGTAGACGAATACGTGTATCTGTCAAGAATAAGCAAATTAGGTAGTGGTATTAAATGGAAATTACTAATCCTTCTCTCTCTCATTATACAGGTATTCCACTAAGACGCCCACATTCATCAGGATTCATAAAAATAGAAAATCATAAAATCAGATCATTGGAAAATCAGAAACAGAAAATCAGAAATTCAGAACATAAGAAAATCAGATCACCTTTAAAGTTAATTTAATTTTCCATTAGATGTCACTGCTGTTCCAATGGTGACATCTATCAGAAGTAACGCATACACTTAGTTTCGTTAATAATTTGTTAATTTGACGTCAATCAGTGTAGACCCTTTTAGAATAGTGCTGTTGCCTTATATATATTTTTTTCAACATACGTTTTATTTGAAATTTTCAATAAATGTAGACTACATATACAAATATCTAAGAAATAAAAATTGTTTTAAACTCAACGAGATGAAATCCTAGCAGTTAGGGTTCTCCTTACTGTATCTTTAGACATAGTTAGATCTATACGCTCACAATAATTATTATACACTCCTTTAAATTTTTCGAACCTCTAAACGGAATTCCTTTATGAAGAGCTTTGAGTGGGTTGGTTTATTTCCTTATAATTGCTTATCTTTTGACAGATACGCGTATTTCGTCTACTACTGGCAGACTTCATCAGTGCCAAGTACTCAACATCACTTATACACTATCATTATTCTATTGATTGGTCCATTTTTACCATAATTCGTTCTGTGAGGTGACAGTTGAAATACACTTCGAGTTCTTAACATGCGTGATGGAACGTAAAAAATTTAATCCTGCTAATATTTTTTTCTGTATTTACGCGTTGTGAGATAATATCATTAACAATATCAAAGAAATTTCTTTTCGTTTCTTAACTGTTTCAATGTTAATCAACATGCAACGGGATACATAAGAAGGAAGGGGGAAAGAGGTCCAGCCTAGTTTCCTAAGAGCAAATAACAAAACCTGTTTGTGAACCGATTCTATACGATTTATATAAGTTTCATGGTATGGAGCCCAAATCACACTGCAATATTCGAGAATTGATCTCACGTAAGCTGTTTTGGCTCTTTGGCGACTCGTAGTAAGGCGGGTTAAACTGTTTGGCGAAAAATCATTTTCAATTGTAGCTTGTTTAACAATAATTTCAAGGAAATAAGTGAACGACGATTTCTTTAGGCTGTGGTTCACTTTTTTTTACCTAAATATGCATCGTAAGCAAATTATTAGCGCCATCTCTGTTATATGCGACAGTTAGAAGATACTGAGAGGTTAGCACATATCATCGGCAAGAGACGTGCGTGTGAGAAAATTTGCGGAAAAATCTAAGGGCACCGGTGGGATTCGAACCCACAATTCCCATTCAGTACACGGGTGCATTGCCAATTATACAACGGTGGACCTATCTCTGTGGAAAATGGCCTGACGATGTGAATAATTCAGAACATCAGTAAATTAATTAATTTGAAAAATCAAATCAGAAAATCATACAGTCAGAAAATCAAAATTTCAGAATTTCAAAATTGTGCAGCTAGAAGTTGACTTATCTTAATGTTAGTAAATTTGAAAGTTTTCCGTTGATCTTGTTTTCCGCACTAAGTACCAATGATACCGACGCCAGGAAGGTAGCTCATTGTGTTGTACCTTACTATACTATAGTTTTAAGATGTATTGTATAGTGAACAAGAATCCTCGGCTCTGTAAAGTTAATTAGGTTGAGGCTTATCAAATAAATTAATAAACAAAAAATGATAACCAGAACATCAAACCAGCAGAAATTCAGAAAATAAGAAATCAGAAAATCATTTAATCAGGGAATCATAAAATAAGGAAATCAGAACATCAGAAAATCATAAAATTAAAAAATCTAAGAATCGGAAAATTTTAAAATCAGAAACTACATTAAATCAGGAGATCAGAAAATTAGAAAATCAGAAAAACAGAATATCAGAAAATCTGAAAATAAAAAATTTAGAAATTCAGAATATCAGAAAACAGAAAATAAGAAAATTCTAAAATCAGAAAATTCGAAAATCAGAAAATCAAAAAAATATAAAATCGAAAAATCGAAAAATCAAAAAATCAGAAAATCAGAGAATAAGACATTTGGAAAATCAGAAAATCTGATGTTCAGAACATAATTAAATCAGAACATAAGAAAATCAGTAAATCAGAAATTCTGAAAATCATGAAATCAAAAAATCTGAAAACCATACAACCAGAAAATTACGAAAATCAAAAAAAAAACAGAAAAACAGAAAATCCGAAAATCAGAAAATAAGAAAATTCGAGAAACTAAAAACCAGAAAATCATAAAAAACAGCAAAACAGAAAATCAGAAAATCAGGCAGCTCACGCACCTGGACCCTATCTATCGACCCGTCAAATCATGTACCAGGGACCAACGGCATTTTAGTAAAAAATGTGAATCATTGACCATTACAAACCATTCCTTAAAGTTCCATACAAACCGGAGAAGGTCATTTTTTTTCGCTATTTTGCCTGTAACTGCTGTAATATGAAATTGACCGATAGAGAATTGATCGTTGGATATCTGACCAATTGATAACTAACATACTAAAAAAAATATTGATTTAAGATTGACCGATTGAATATTTTCAATGTAGAACCACAGACAAATAGACGTAACTCTTTGAAAAAGTTTTCTTGAAAACATAGTATCTCAAAACATAGGACCTCAGTAACGACATCTCTCTGGCTTCTCGCGGAAAACAAGATTGCTAACTCGCAAACAATATTGCATAAAAGTTCTATAGAATGTATAGAAACGTCAAAGTGATCCGATGCCAGCGCTGCGGCGAGTAGTTCGCGGAACTGATAATATTCAAATCAACCGTTAAATGCGTGAACGAAGATACACAATGAAGTGTTACGTCTGTTTGTCTGTGGTAGAACTTACTGAAAATGTATCAAATTAAAATTTACTTATTGAAAATTGAGCAATGGAATATTGAAAAATATAAATTTAAATCGAAAATTAATTCAATTAATCAGTTGATCTTGAACACCGGCTCAAAAATTAACCAATTGAAAATGAAATATTTGAAAACCAAAACAATGAAAGTAATGTCAGATACCAAAAAAAAAAAAAACTAACAGCACCAATTTTACCGTGAATATCCATTTCTCAACAAGTCTCCCTCCATCTCGGAGAAGCACTATTCGCCAGCAGCAGAAGCCCTCCAGCTGAATCCATCTCAAACTTGAATAGAAATCAATGTAAGTGGAAATGTTGAACAAGCACCGGCACCAGCTGCAAAATCATGTTCAGTGATACGTAAATCCTTTCAAATCCGGATGCTCTCGAACTAGCACTAGCGCGGCAGCATTCCTTCTACCGACGACGGTTCGAATCAATCACGCTCTCGTTCGGTGGAGTTCTTGTTTCACCCTCGGAACATCGGAGATTATAACCGAGTAGGAACCGCATCTCAATATTTCCTCAATATAACTCCAGTTCAGTTCAATCGATACAAAATTCCCGATGCTAGCGCATAAATCACTCGGCTCCGACACACAAACACAGTAATGCTAGATGCTTACTCTTGAGCTAGAGTGGCTTACCGTCATCGGAGCGGGTGGTGACCTATAAACGATTCCAAAGCCATAGGAGGAAGGGAATACCTCTACGTACGATGCGGAGAAATTCTCAGCTCGTCGACGAATCCTACTAGCCAGGAACCGAAACCGCCATCGAAAGTTATAGATTATATTGCCAAGAGGATATCTATAATTGAATTTATAGTTTTTTTCCGTTCCTGGCTGCCTCCTTGGGTACTTCGCCTAACGGCAGAGAGGAGGGTTTTAGAAAGGCAGTATATCTGTTATATCTGTTTGCTCATATATTTCTCAGCTAGTTGGGTTCCTTCCGGGAAGATCTATTACTGTGGATAGGAAGCAAGAAGGTGCTATGCATTGTTTTCCGCACGGATGGCAATTTCCTTCACCTCAACCATTGATTGCAAAACTGTCCCAACAGCTTCATTTGCGGTACATCGGCTAACAACGTATGTATAGCTAGCGAGGTAGGCGGAAATGCATCCACTCGAGAAGATAGTTACAAGAATGTTTTCTTCTGCCTTCTGCTAGTGCGCCTTGGAATGAGGAAAGTCGACATCAAGACAGTTTTACTATTTGTTGACCTACTTTTAGTTACAACGAGGAGGAGCTCGAAAGTTGTAGGTACCTATCAGCAAAGCAAAACTACCACCGTCGGAATGTCGTTTGGTTCTTTAAATGGGATTTCCTGGAGCGATGCTCGTGGAAAGAACTTTTGTCAACATCGATGGCAAGTTACGCTATGGATTCGAACTCCCGCCCGCATCCTTTTTTTGGTTTCAGAAACCTAACCAACCATTCGTATCACCTCTCATTGCAGGCCTACGTGGACCTGGTGGCAGCTTGGGGCTGGAAGTCCTTCACCATCATCTACGAAACGAACGAGGGCCTGGTGCGGATGCAGGAGCTGCTCAAAGCCCACGGTCTGTCCGAATATCCCATCACCGTCCGGCAGCTGAGCGATTCCGGCGACTACCGGTAAGTTCCCCATATTTTGCTTAATTTACACTTGTACTACAAACTCCTTCCCCCACCCACAACTTTCCCAAAAACAGCGACAACAAAACCGGGCGAAAACTCTCCTGGCCCAGAAATTAAATTAAATCCTCTCGAGTAAATTTAATTTGAAATTATTTATAAAACTATAAAGTAGGTACTTGTGTGTTTGCATTGGCGGCAGGATGATGGTGCGAGCGAACGCCAGGCACAATATTCAACGAGTTTCAACTCTGGCTCGATGGGAAAGTGGAATAGTTCAAGCTTTATTCCAGTGCATGCTGCAGCTCAGCAGCTGCATTCGCATTAATGATGCCGGGGAATTTGCGCGGGTTTCTTTTTTTTTCTCGTGCCGTTGTTGTTTGCCAGTGCACACGAAATCTGCTCATTTTCACACTCCCTGCCTGGTTCTGATCTGCCCCGCACAGTCGGAGGGGCGGCTTCGGCTGGTGTGCTTTAGATGCGATTATCGTTTGTCGGGTACAAACTAGCTGCACAGTATTTCGGGGGAAGCTGGTTGGATGGTCGTTAAATCGCTGTTGTACTTCATTAAGGTTTTGCGTGACTTTTTTTTTTGCCCCCCGGAAAACAGTGATTCGAGGGTTCTCGAGATTTAATCTAGTGTTTGTACAGAGACAAACAGATGTATCACTAACCAGTGCCATCTGATGAGCAAACTACGTGATACAGAGAGTTGAGAGTTGTTACTGCGATAGTAAAAGAATTTATTTTTTTAAAGAAGCAGGTGCTTGTCTCATTCACTGAGCTCTCCTGCGCAAAACTCACGCATGAGATAACAAAAACAGTTCAAACGTTGAAACTTGATGGTTTAGAGTCACAAAACTGAATATTCTATATTTCATGTTGCCCCACAACTATCGTCGTGCCGAGTGTTCTCGAAGATTGACATTTGGTTGACGTTCTACGTCAATTATATCGAATGCGCAAGGACTTCCATAAACCGCCGTCAGCTTTGGAGTTCAGTTAATCTCCTTTCATCTCCAGTTCTAATACTGGGCGATATGAACTCACACGGTACTGGCTGAGGCGAATCATACGATGACAATAGAGTTGGTATTTTCTATGATTAATGGGACGATTTCAACTTGACTATCTTGAACACTGGTGAAGCAACACGTATAGCAAAACCTCCTGCTCGAGAGAGCCGCCTTGACATATCTTTGTGCTCTAACTCACTTACCAATTATTATTTCAATCAAAGGTGGTCGTCTAAAAACAGATCAGTCAATTCAAGTTCCTTTTGACCTCACGAAGAACATTGATTGGCAAAAATTTGTATCGGCGGTAACTCTTGGTTTTGTAACTACTGATCCTCTGCCACCATTATTGAAAGAGTATAGGTTCTTTACCGAACTGATCTACAAAAGCGCATTAGAAGCTCAGAAACGACGTGTTCCAAGTGCATCCTTCAAAAGAAGGCCCGCCACCCCTGGATGAGATGACGAATGCACAAAGTTGTATCTTGGGAGATTCGTAGACATGAAAGATCTGAGCTTTTTAAAAAGTATCTAAAGCATGAAAAAAAGCTTAAAAACTTACTACAAGCAAAGAAATGAAATAACTGGCGTATGTACTTTTATCGAGGGACTTTCTAGAGAAACCTCGATGACAACGCTTTGGAAAAAGGCTCGCTATATGCGAAACCGCTCATCTTCCAATGAGAGTGAAGAATACTCCTCCCAATGGATATTCGACTTCGCTAAAAAGGTTTGTCCAGACTCTGTATCAGAACAACCAACTTTACGGGATACAGCCCGAAGTAACGGTTTTCTGGATGAACCATTCACAATGCTGGAATTTTCAATGGAACTTCTTTCATCGAATAACTCTGCTCCGGGAAGCGATATGATCAAATTCGACCTTCTAAAAAACCTCCCCGATATCGCTAACAAACGATTACTTAAATTCATTTATGAAATTCAATATAGTTCCACCAGCATGAAGACAGGTTAATGATCCTATAAAGACTTGACCATTGGGTCAATCATGAGCATGATTGACCGCCCACGGTTACCTTACCTTACCAATCAGGCTAAGGCCTTGTTGTCCTCTGCTGTCCGAAGAAGTCGTCTCCACTCTACTCGATCCATAGCCACACTTTGCCAGCCTCGTAGTCTGCGAAGGGTCCGCAGGTCACCTTCTACTTGGTCGATCCACCTTGCCCGCTGCACGCCTTTTCTTCTTGTTCCTGTTGGGTCGCTTTCTAGAACCATTTTCACTGGGTCGTCGTGCGGCATTCTTACGACGTGCCCAGCCCACCGTAGTCGCCCAGTTTTTGCAATGTGGACGATGGATGGTTCTCCCAGCAGCTGGTGCAATTCGTGGTTCATTCACCTCCTCCACGTTCCGTCATCCATCTTCACTCCACCGTAGATGGTACGCAAAACCTTCCGTTCTAAAACACCAAGGGCGCGTTGGTCCTCCACGAGCATAGTCTAGGTCTCGTGGCCGTAAAGGACCACCGGTCTAATCAGCGTCTTGTAGACAGTCAACTTCGTGTGGCGGCGAATTTTATTCGACCGGAGCGTCCTCCGGAGTCCAAAGTAGGCACGATTCCTTTCATGTATTTTGTCTTTGATGCGTTGATGGCAAGTCCAATCCGTCTAGCTTCAGCCTGATGTACGTTTCCGCCATCATTTCAAAGTTCCGTGCCATAATGTTAATGTCATCGGCGAAACCAAGGAGCTGGATGGACTTCCTGAATATCGTGCCACTCGTGTCTATCCCAGCTCTTCTGATCACACCTTCTAACGCGATGTTGAACAGCAGACACGAAAGTCCATCACCCTGCCGTAACCCCCTTCGAAATTCAAAGGGACTCGAGAGTGTCCCCGATACTCGAACAACGCACATCACTCGATCCATCGTCGCCTTGACCAATCGCGTCAGTTTATCCGGAAATCCATACTCGTACATAATCTGCCATAGCTGATCTCGATCGATTGTGTCGTATGCGGATTTGAAATCGATGAACAAATGATGTGTGGGCACGTTGTATTCGCGGCATTTCTGCAGAACCTGCCGAATCGCGAAAATTTGGTCCGTGGTAGCGCGGGCACCCATGAATCCCGCCTGGTATTGCCCCACGAACTCTCTTGCATATGGTGACAGACGGCGGCATAGAATTTGGGAGAGTACCTTTTAGGTGGCGCTCAGCAGTGTGATCGCGCGGTAGTTGCAGCAATCCAACTTGTCGCCCTGTTTGTAGATTGCCAGTGCTTCACCACCGTATTTTAAAAGCTCACTTGGTAGTTGATCTACACTAGTTGCTTTGTTGTTCTTCAGCCGACCGATCTCCTCCTCAACTTCTTGAAGATCAGGGGCCGGTAGCCTGTCGTCTTCTGCGCGTGCTCCAAGGTCTGTTGCCTTGCCACCTTCGTTTTCTGCTGCTTCACCGTTGAGGTGCTCGTCATAGTACTGCTTCCACCTCTCAATCACCTCAGACTAATTGATGAGAAGGTTACCGTCCAAGTCCTTGCACATATCGGCTTGCGGCACGTAGCCTTTGCGCGAACCATTAAGCTTCTCGTAGAAGTTCCGTGTGTCGTTTACGCGGTACAGATTTTCCATCGCCTCGCGATCTCGGTCTTCCTGCTGACGCTTCTTTCTTCGGAAAACCGAGTTTTGTTTGTTTCGCACTTGTCTGTATCGCTCCACATTCAATCTCGTGAGGTGTTGCAGCATTCTCGCCCGTGCTGCATTCTTCTTCTCTACTAACAGTTTGCATTCGCCGTCAAACCAGTCATTTCTTCGGTCCGGGATTGCAGTACCTAGTGCCGCTGCAGCAGTACTACCTATGGCTGAACGGATGTCCCTCCAGCCATCTTCAAGAGAAGCTGCGCCAAGCTGCTCTTCTGTGGGTAGCTGCGCGTAGTCCTGGACAGCTCCGACGTCCCATAATTGCTCAATGTTGGGTCGAGGCGTTCCACTTCGACGGTTTTCTTTTTCTGTTTGGTTTTCTGTGTGTTGGTCAGGTGATCTCCAGGTGGCTTTGTGGATATCCTTGCGGGGGAAAAAAGTACTTCGAACTACCATACCCCGGGAGGCTGCAAAGTTCACGCATCGTTGGCCGTTGTCGTTCGATACGGCATGCAGGCTGTTTGGCCCGATTGCCGGTCTAAAGATTGCCTCCCGTCCTACCTGAGCGTTCATGTCGCCGATGACGATTTTGACGTCCCGTTGCGAACAGCCGTCGTACACCTGCTCCAGCTGCGCATAGAACGCTTCTTTCTCGTCGTCGGGTCTCCCTTCGTGTGGGCAGTGCACGTTGATGATGCTGTAGTTGAAGAAACGGCCCTTAATCCTCAACTTGCACATCCTCGCTTTGATCGGCTGCCAACCAATCACGCGTTGGCGCATCTTACCCAGCACTACAAAGCCGGTTCCCAGCTCGTTGGTGGTGCCACAGTTCTGGTAGAAAGTAGCCGCTCGATGCCCGCTTTTCCATACCTTTTGTCCCGTCCAGCAAAGTTCCTGCAGTGCTACGACTTCGAAGTTGCGTGGTTGAAGTTCGTCATAGATTAACCTATCGCAACCCGGGAAGCCGAGCGATTTGCAGTTCCATGTTCCGAGTTTCCAATCGTAGTCCTTATTTCGTCGCGTAGGTCTGTGCCGATTGTTCCGATCCGTATTTCTTTCTTCGGTATTTGCAACTTTGTTTTTTTCCAGGGCGGCTTGTTGGGCCTGCCCCAACCCCCTGTCTCGCCGGGGGACCATCGTACATAGCTCTGTTTAGAGTCCCACGCTGGCACTAGGACGGTGATCAGCCGCTCCTAACATGGAGAACAGACGCCGTTTTGAGCCGCACCTCCATGGTGAACAGACGCTCAGGTTTGGTGAAACATTTCCTCTATCACCGTACTATGGTTACCGCACCAGTGTTCGCGTCGCACCTCTTCACTTTGCTATTGCCGGACTGGCAACATTGCCCAGGCTACGCCCCCCAGCTGTGTCCATGTTTC